CGGTGTTTGAAAGCTATTAGAATATCCTAGTATAAAATGGTAGCTTTCGTACATTGTTGCACGAAAAAGACGGGAAACTTCGCGATAGAATGTCCTGTTTTATTTTTTGAACTTTGTTAAAGGGTTTTGCTTGCAACGAGCTCGAAGATATATGGCCTTGCGCTTTATATAACGACCAGCCGTTTAACTTTAGATCCTGTAAGGCTCAATTAGACCCGTGTCGCGTTAACGAGTGCCGAAATAGCGTCACTATTAGCGTGATGTACCGATTAGCCAACTTGGAAACGCCTACAAAGAGAAGACACTGGTTAATCTGCTGCGAGGTTCTTTATGATGAAAGAGAAATTATAGTTGTATTAGTTCTTCTTCTTTCTAGTATTAAACACTAATGGTATAGGTAGTATTATTATTTCTTCTTTGGACATTGACTTATTTGTACTCATTAAATTGTCATAATAGTGTGAAAAGGCAGACTGCAATGTTATGTTTAAATTCCGAGTATATTCAAGGTTCATACATCCAACTTTCGTATCATAAATTTACCATAAATCTATTAATTCTAGGAAAATTTAGAGAAGACCTAAGGATTTTTATGCTGGCACGAGAATTTTTCAATTTTATTAAGATTTACCTAGGATCTATTTAGATTCTTCCTAGGATCTTTCTAAAATCCCTTTCTGGGTTCTTAGAATTTCTCTAGGACCTCCATAGGATTTCTAGTATTCCTCCCGGGAATCTTAGGTTCTTCCTAGAATTTCAGAATTATCCAATTTTTATTTAGAATCCTAGAATCTTTATGTAGAATCCTGAAACCTCTTCCTGGAATCTCTGTAAATTCTATTTATGATTTCTTGAAATTCTACTCAAAACCTTATATTCTTAGTTTCCCTAGAATCTCCTTAAGTTCTATCTTAAATCCCTTAGGATTCCTTCAAGTTTTATCTTAAGTCCGTAGGATTCCTTTACGATTTGTTTCAAATTCCCTAGGACTCCCTTAAGTTTTATTTCTAATCCCCTAGGACTTCCTTAAGTTTTATTTTAAATCCTCTAGGACTCCCTTTAAGTTATAACTTAAATCCCTTAGGACTCTCCTAAGTTTCACCTTAAATCCCTAGGACTCCCCATAATTTTATTTTACATCCCTAGGACTCCCCTAAGTTTTACCTTAAATGCCCTAGGACTCCCATAAATTTTAACTTAAATCCCCTAGGACTCCCCTAAGTTTTACCTTAAATCCCCTAGAACCAGCCTAAGTTCTATCTTAAATCTCCTAGGACTCTCTAAATTTTTATTTTACATTCTTAGATCTCCCCTAAGTTTTATGTTAAATCCCTAGAACCCCTCTAAATTTCATCTTAAATCTCCTAGGATCCACCTTACAATCTTCTCAGAATTTATTAAAACTCCCTCCAGAATTTTCTTAGACTCTCCCCAACCCTTTCTCAAGTTCTCCCTAAAATCCTCCAAGAACTTGCCAAACTTCCCTCAACTTATAATCTATCTAACCTATTCCTAACCTAACCAGTATATCCTATTCGTAATCTAAACAAACACTATTATTCGCCATAAAACAGTCCAGTCCTAATATCAATTTATTTAGCATCAATTTTAACATATAAGCACCGAAATAACCCTATCGCCCATCAAGTAGCTGATCGACGCCGAAGAAAGGCGAAGAAAAGGTTCGAAAGTGCGCGACGGATGTAGCTTGTTAAGCGAGCGCAATCTCGATGACGCCGAGCGGATTGACACCGAGAAGGATACATCATTATCCTGCAAGTGGATTGGCTCGCGCCAAGATCGAGCGGATAAACGCGCTCGTTAAAGAACCGTGATGCGGGGGTGTCGCACGGCGAGGCTACCTAATGGGAAACACGTTCATCGCCGGCGTTCGCGAGCAGAGAACGATAAAAATACACGGGACACGGTTGGTGGGCTTATGGTAAACGTACGCAGCGCGATGAAAGCGAGCTGGCTCGTTAACGCCGATCGCTTTGCATACTCGTTATGACGTAAATACACCCACGTGACCGATGCTGCACACCGGTCTAATAACGACGTCGATTATAAACACAGGTTAATGCTCGATGGGGATCTTATTGGACGGAACTTTTCCAGGAACATCGATTTCGAAGTTTATAAATAGTCGCTGGTAAAATTACTGCTGTTGAATATTCAAGACGGGCTTCTGGAAAATCGGAGTGATGATTAGTTAGTTGATTGTGTAATTTTGTTTCAAGAATTCCTCGTGTGAAATTAAGTAATGATATTTTGATCGAAAGCAAGTTTTCTTATTGTAAATTTTATGGAAGAAGTCAAGGAAAGTGAGGAAGGATTATATTTTAATAGAGCTTTGAATTGATGTGTATGCACGGCTAACCGATTCAATTATTTGGATTGTATGAAATCTTCAGATTGTCAATTTATCATCGAGTTACAAAGTTGGAGCAGTACAACTTGAATCATCATCCTGAATCCGTATATCTGTATATTTACACTTGAATGATCAGGTGTGTCCATTAGTGACTCGCTATTTTTGTTAACAAGTTAACAATGCAATGAGTTATCATTTTTAAAAGAATTGTAAGTTCAAAATCTTCTATTATTCACTCTTTTATAAAATATGTATAGTATCGCAGAATAATACTCATGTTTAAGGCATGATAGAAATTTGATTTGGTTAAAAGTAAATGGTTAATTTAACCAAAGGAGGTGCATTAATTAAGACATTTAATAAAGAAAATTGAAATTATAAGTCACGCGTTCTGTGAATTTACTGTACCCAGTGTTGGAACGTTGTCTGACCACCTGAGAGTTATCCTTATCTACTTCGTCTTTACCTATATAAGGATACTGTTTAAATTTATTTTACTCACAGTTTTATCGTTCAATTATCAATCAAAACGATGATATTTTTTTCCACTTAATAACATTAACTTAACCCAGTTTTTATTTTATATTCGACTATAGTCTTCCAGAAACCATCATCAACCGCAAAACACAATAATCAACGTCTTATCAATTAAAGTTATACAGCAATTAACGCAATATAGCCATTATTTTATCTCCACCTATAACCCATTCTTTAAAAACTACCCCATTACCAACCACCTAATTCAACAATAGTGTTCTCATCAATTGAAACTTTGCAACAATGTCAACCTAGTCAAAATTTTACTTTACCTCTAACTGTAAATCATCCTTTAGGAATCCCATAATCAACCACCAAATTCAGCATCCGCATGTCTTTCACTAATTGCAAACTTGCAATCGACAGTTTTTATCAAATTATGATCTACCCTCTGAGTCCGCTACACCATCAACCACCAAACTTAGCCTCCACATCCCCCGCTCTCCAATTGATTCGCAATACCCTTGCGCAATCGTCACTTTATCTCGAATTATAGCCTATTCTATAAAAACCACCCTTTAGTGAACCATCAAACTCAGCACAAATATCTCTTTCTCACTAATTGAAATTTCGCAATAATCCTAGGGTAACCGTCACCTCATCTCAACTTAATCGTCACCTAGAATACACCCTCTAAAAATCACCCCAAAGTCAACCAAGCTCAGCACAAATATGTTTTTCCCGGTAACTGAAAATCCGTAAGAGTTCTAGCACAAGCGTCACCTCATCTCAAACTAGAACCCACCGTCTAAAAACCATCCCACAGTGAACCATCAAACTCAGCACAAATATCTCTTTCTTACTAACTGAAATTCCACAATAGTTTTAACACAACCATCATTTAATCTCAAACTAAAATCCCACCCTTTAGAAACCACCCCATAATCAACCAAGCTCAGCACAAATATCTCTCTCTCACCAACTGAAACTCCGCAATAGTCCTAGCGCAACCATCCTCCCAAACTAGACCTCTAAAACCCCATAGTCAACCAAACTCCGCAACCCACCCAAAACCCGTTAACCCATCGCAACAATCCGGCATCCGACAAAAACCGCACAGTGGGACTAAAACAGAAGGGGTAGTAAAAAGTAGTACGGTTAGCGATACAATTACAGCAGGCTAGCTATAGAACGAGTAATTAACCGGAGATCGACGCCATGGGGACTGGACATGTATGTAAGCCCTGAAATTTGACCCTTGGTCCGAGGTGGATTGTGGCTGGCGGTGGATCGCGAACACGGAAGGACAAAAGCGGCCAAAGCAGCAAGATGGCGGTCCATGGATCGGTAGGCGCGTCCGACCACGCAGTTGGCTCTCGCGACGACCAATCATCGGTGCGGTATAACCGCGTCTGTGCGGTTATGCGACCACGCCAGCTGCCACACCGCAGCGA